TGCTGCTACCCTGGGTCAGAGTGGACCTGGGAACAACAGCAATTATGAGTTAGTGCAAAGCTTCTCAAAATCTCTCGTTCCAGAGGCCTTGCTGCCGGGTGTAGTTTATCGTCATACGCAGGACGATCAGTTGTCTGGGCAGCACTTACAAAGAAAATGACATCATATGGGCTTAATTACGTAGATTCCGCATTGGTTTGAACGATCGTGTTCGTTGCTTTAGAGTCGGACATATCGATTGGCGATAAACGAAAGACGCGTTGGAAGTTCAATCCCTGGGTCGGGCAGTGCGTACTTAATCTCAGTGAAGACGGGCACGTGCAATAACTGAGCAGTACTAAAATTAAGAACTAGATGAGGTATCCCTAGGTATTGTTGCATCACTGGGTTAACTGCCCGGATCTCAACGCTGCTTCGTAGACTGTATCAACCAAAGAGGGTTTCACTTTCCTATTCGTTTTTTTTTTATTAGAGGAGTGGGACAGACGTGGCAGCATAGATTCTAGGAAGGCAACGCGGGTGGAAAGAACTTGGGGGAGACACCTGTCCAGCCGTCTTAGCATTCTCCCACGTGCGGTCTTAGCCTGTCTGTCGAACCTGAGTGCGGGGAACGTATCGGTGCTTCGAAATTTCTGCGGCCCTCTGGCCTCTTCGTGCCGTTTTTCTCTTACGTCCAAAACTTAGAAAAAAGACTTTCAGAAAACCACGCCCAAGAGGTATTCTGATCAATCGCTAACCATCCAGGCCCAGACTCCGCATTACGCAATAGTATTGGCAGCGGAACGACAACAATGTAAATTAAATAAAGGGTTCAGTTCGAAAGTCCTTGTGGTTTATCCTTATCGACAAGCAATGTCTGGAGAGTACAACGAGCGAAACGTTGTGATAAGAAAAACAAAGATAAGGACAATGTTCACTCAATACAAGGCTTAAGAGTGACTCAAGATAGAAGGCTACTGTGTGGTGTTCTATGAGCGTAAGAAAAGAGAAGTGACTGGAGCTATGCGGAAAAGACAACAGCCAACTGTATGTACTTGAAACTAGTGGAAATGGAGCAAGCAGTCACGGAGCAGTACAATAATAAGTAATAAGAAGTAGACGAAATTTTCTATCGTTTTTAGGGAATCTCTGATGGATTTATTTCGAGAAAAAAATGTTATAGAATTCTTTTCAGATTTTCTTACAAGTTATGCAATTACTCGTCACGGTTAGAACCGTCTGAACCAAGGAATGTAGTTCGTTTGAGTATATTCCATGGAAGTAACCCTGGATAAAATAAATATATGATGCGCCGTTATTAACACGTAAATTTTTTTAAATATTTTAAATCGCAGTTCACGTGGTAAACTTAACATAAGGAGTCCGCGTTAATATGTCACAAAACAAAAATCAACCAACCAAGAAAACAAGCTATGTTAAAGAACTCTTTCATTACGTTAAGTCATAAAATATCCGACAATATCTTTAATCAAACTGAAAAGATTTAATTAGTTAATAACATTTCAGAGTTCAGTTGTAGATGTGTTATAGTGGAACACACCTATTCTATTGGTAATAGACTCTCCCACCTATAATAAGTAGGAGTAGTAAGAGTAATGAGTCAGTCAGTCGACTGGCTGATCGGTTGAACTCCCGGCCTTCGGGCGGGGAGGAACACGAACGAGGCTACGCCGAAGGGCGGAGTCTCGTTCGGGGAGGTAAACCGGCCCTGAGCCCGTTTATACGGGTTCAATGGGCATATTTTGGGGCCAAAGCCCACGGGCTCGGAGAACCCACAATAAATAATCGGCCCTGTGTCACATGCTGCCCCAGTGGGCGGGGGTGACTGAATACCGTCACTCAGTCGATGTTGGTCGACTGGCTGATCAGTTGAACTCTCTGCCTTCGGGCGGGGAGGAACCCGAAAGAGGCTACGCTGAAGGGCGGATTCTCTTTCGGGGAGGTAAACCGACCCTGAACCCATTTATACAGGTTCAATGGGCATATTTTTGGCCGAGCCTACGAGCTCGGAGATCCCACGGACTCGGAGATCCCACGTTAAACCGACCTTGTGCCACATGATGCCCACGTGGGGGGGGTGACTAAATATAGTCAATCTGTCAGTCGATGTTGGTCGACCAGCTGACCGGTTGAACTCTCCGACTTCGTGCGGGGAGGAACCCGAACGAGGCTACGCCGAAGGGCGGGTTCTCTTTCAGGGAGGTAAACCGACCCTGAACCCGTTTATACGGGTTCAATGGGCATATTTTTGGCCGATCCCACGTCGGCGAGTCAGTCGATGCCGGACGACCGTTAGTCGGATACTAAAGTATCAGCGACCACAACTAGATTACTCTGCGTCATTACCTATTATATCAAGTTCCTAACGTTTTGTACGTCGAACCTAATTTAGGACCGACTTAGTACAAATACAAGCCTCCACTGTGAAACCACTCTACAACAAGAAGTAATAGTAGACTTGAAGAGGAACCGGAAATTTAATCCAAAACAAGAAACAACTGATAACGGATTTTCTGCTCAAAATATTAAAAAAAACAAAAACAAAAAAAACATAGCGGCGTGTGATGCGAACAATAGGCCAACCTATCTACTCCTGTTAAATAATAACCCCGTCTCTAAGAAATTCAGGCCGAAAAATCAGCTACACTTTAAATGTGCCTTTTCTTTTTTCTTCATAAAACGGAAGTTAAAATATGTATATGAAAAGATTTGACGTCTATTGAACCTGACATCGTCTATACATGTCCGAGCGTTGTCGACATATAATTATTCCCTTCCAATGACTGTAAGAAAATCTGAAAAAAAAAAAATCCTGTAATTTTTTTTTTTCACGAAATAAATCCATCTGAGATCAAAAAAAAAAATCGATAGAGAAAAATAATTTTCTCTCGAATGAGAATAACTGCCTTACGTGCTTTTTCGGATTTCGGGGAAAGTTCCTCCGAATGATTGCCTTTATAATAATATTCACCTAAAAAAACTGGAACCATGCTTTTAAATAGCCTATCATAGCGTCTAAACCAGTGTTTTTACCCTTGTGAAATCCTTGAAATAGTTTTCGTCTCACCGGGAACCCTTGCATAAAATAAAATATTTTTTTTATATTTTTATCATAGTTGGTAAACATAACATAAGGATTCCGCGTGTAGAGTAAATGGCTATGTTTAAATATAATGAAAAGAAATACCTAACAAATACAAGTGACAACGTTTACAATACACTATAACAAAGTTTCCGGGGTATAACGATAAACTACACCCAGCAGCGAGGCAAAGTAAATGTTTTCAGGAGCAAGAAACCTCTCTAAATTTCTGTTTCTCCCAGTTTCACCGTGACCAGGGGTGGTAGCACTTGTTAGGGTCCCAGCCATGGACAAAAAGTAATCCGCCAAATCCCTATGAAAGTGTAAAAATACATTTTTACGGAAAATAGCAGCAATGTATTTTTAAATAGAAATAAAATTAGCAACAGTACCTATTTATAGTAAAAATAGCAACAATAGATTTTTAAAGCAACATGAGCGCAATAAATTTTATTTGTAATTGAAGGCATACAGTTGGGTTCAAAATATATATAATCGTCATGAAATCGTTCAAATTATTTACATTTCTGCATTGAATGACCCATAAAGCTGTTGATATGTCACTAAACAAAATCAACCAATCAACCGATCAACCATTATGAAAGAACTCTTTCATTGGTATTAAGCTATATAATATCCTCCTGGTAATTATGTCTACACAAACATGCATATGCACAAAAGCTGGGCAACATCTACCATGTATCCAATTGCGAAAGCAGAACAACATATATTTTTATGACTTCAAAGCTCGCAAGAAAATTAAATTTCGGCATTAAATGACCCATAAAGAGCTGATGATAAAATGTCGGCAATCTTTAACCTTCGTACCTGCAAAAAGTGTCAGAAGGATGTTTTTTTTTCCTTTGACGCCGCTATTATTTTAACTACCTTCACTCCTCAGCACTGTCTTAAAAAGCGATGATTAAATAACAATAAAACTTAAACATATGAAAGAGAATATATATATATATATACTTTGTTCTTAAGAAATGGTAACAAAATAATAAACACTATTTATTTATTAGATTGTTTATATAGACTATTATATTATTTACTGGAATTCTTAACAAAACATCGACAAGAATCGATTGTGAATCAATTCGAACTTGATAAAATGGTAAATAATAAGGGATTCATTATAGCTTGTTCACATACTTTAATAATTTTGTAAATGTTTATAAATATATAGAGAAATTCATATTTATTTATTTAAAAATTGGTAAATTATAAATATTGCATTGCATTAGTGTTAATAAAATTATATTAATTTATAGAATTCCTACCGGAATTTCTGGAATAAAGTGTTATAATTTGATATAATGGAATAGGCATACACCTGAGTTCCCCCTCACTGGAATATGATTGGCTGGGGTCCGTCATAAATACAGACGGACGTGTAGGTACGACAGAGTTTAAGTCTATAACGACGCCCATTGGACTACGCCATTGGCTATCCTATTGGTCTACACCCTTTACTTGCGACTACGACACGTACCAGTCGATTACTACTACCATATTCTACTTGGTTATAGTAGCCAAAACCGCTTAGCTACTTCGACCAAATATAACCCTTTCCAGTACATATCATAATTATTTACACTATTCTTCGGAACATATATATATATATATATATATATATATATATATATATATATATATAAATAAAAGTTGTAAGCATCTCAGATGTACAGCGTATGCCAGGTCTTTTAAAAATGTCTCCTAAGATGCGATAACAGTTGTTTCGTTTTGCTGGGATTATATTTTATTTTAAATTAATCTGCAAGAAATTAAGCAAAGAGAAAAATATTATATGGTGGCGGATCATTTTTGAAACACGTTATCTTTTGGGTTGGCAGTGTTATACGACATGAAAATTTAAAAAAAATATGTTGTAGTAAGGCCACAAAAGGTTCAGAGGTTACGTAGGGATATTAGTTTGGTAAAGACCAACAGGAAAGATTGTTAAAAGGTTATAAAAGCAATGACAGTACAGCGGCGGGTAGTTACGATGGACGGTGGACCGGGGTGTTAGGAGAAATCCAGTGATATTTCGATTACGAGATAGAAAAGACGCCATTTTCGAGAAATGGCTATGGCGGACTTGTGTCGAGCAAGCAGTATAATGAATTAATAATAACAATTGTAATCGAAACGAAGAAGAAGAAGAATGAAAATCTAAAAGAAGGTAAAAAGGAAAAAATGAAAAAAAGAAAGAAAGGTCAGTAAAATAATGTAAGGAATTAGAGAAATGGAAAAAAAATGACAACATTTTAAAGAGTAATGAAAAAGAAAGAAAAGTCAAAATAAAGACAAAAATGAAGGAAAGAAACAAGAGCAAGAGAATGAAAAAACATAAATGAAAAATAAAGAGAAATAAGAAAAAAGAAAACAGTAAAAAAAGACTGAAATAAACAAAAGACAAAGAAAGAAAGAAAACAGAAAGTGGGATAAATAGAAAGAAAGAAAGAAAGAAAGAAAGAAAGAAAAAAGAGCGATAAATAGAAAGAAAGAAAGAAAGAAAGAAAGAAAGAAAGAAAGAAAGAAAGAAAGTAAGAAAAAAGAGCGATAAATAGAAAGAAAGACAGAAAAAAAGAAAGAGGGATAAATAGAAAGAATGAAAGAAAGAAAGAGGGATAAATAGAAAGAAAGAAAGAAAGAAAGAAAGAAAGAAAGAAAAAAGAGCGATAAATAGAAAGAAAGACAGAAAAAAAGAAAGAGGGATAAATAGAAAGAAAGAAAGAAAGAAAGAAAGAAAGAGGGATAAATAGAAAGAAAGAAAGAAAGAAAGAAAGTAAGAAAAAAGAGCGATAAATAGAAAGAAAGACAGAAAAAAAGAAAGAGGGATAAATAGAAAGAAAGAAAGAAAGAAAGAGGGATAAATAGAAAGAAAGAAAGAAAGAAAGAAAGTAAGAAAAAAGAGCGATAAATAGAAAGAAAGACAAAAAAAAAAGAAAGAGGGATAAATAGGAAGAAAAGAAAGAAAGAAAGAAAGAGGGATAAATAGAAAGAAAAGAAAAAGAAAGAAAGAAAGAAAGAAAAGAAAAAGAGCGATAAATAGAAAGAAAAGACAGAAAAAAAGAAAGAGGATAAATAGGAAGAAAGAAAAGAAAGAAAGAGGGATAAATAGAAAGAAAGAAAGGAAGAAAGAAAGTAAGAAAAAAGAGCGATAAATAGAAAGAAAGACAGAAAAAAAAAAGAAAGAGGGATAAATAGAAAGAAAGAAAGAAAGAAAGAGGGATAAATAGAAAGAAAGAAAGAAAGAAAGAAAGTAAGAAAAAAGAGCGATAAATAGAAAGAAAGAAAGAAAGAAAGAAAGAAAGAGGGATGAAGAAAGAAAGAAAGAAAAAAAGAAAGAAAGTAAGAAAAAGAGCGATAAATAGAAAGAAAGACAGAAAAAAAGAAAGAGGGATAAATAGAAAGAAAGAAAGAAAGAAAGAAAGAAAGAAAGAAAGAAAGAGGGATAAATAGAAAGAAAGAAAGAAAGAAAGAAAGTAAGAAAAAAGAGCGATAAATAGAAAGAAAGACAGAAAAAAAGAAAGAGGTATAAATAGAAAGAAAGAAAGAAAGAAAGAGGGATAAATAGAAAGAAAGAAAGAAAGAAAGAAAGAAAGAAAGTAAGAAAAAAGAGCGATAAATAGAAAGAAAGACAGAAAAAAGAAAGAGGGATAAATAAAAGAAAGAAAAGAAAGAAAGAAAGAAAGAAAAAAAAAAAGAGCGATAAATAGAAAGAAAGACAGAAAAAAAGAAAGAGGGATAAATAGGAAGAAAGAAAGAAAGAAAGAAAGAAAGAAAGAAAGAAAGAAAGTAAGAAAAAAGAGCGATAAATAGAAAGAAAGACAGAAAAAAAGAAAGAGGGATAAATAGAAGGAAAGAAAGAAAGAAAGAAAGAAAGAGGGACAAATAGAAAGAAAGAAAGAAAGTAAGAAAAAAGAGCGATAAATAGAAAGAAAGACAGAAAAAAAGAAAGAGGGATAAATATGAAGAAAGAAAGAAAGAAAGAAAGTAAGAAAAAAGAGCGATAAATAGAAAGAAAGACAGAACAAAAGAAAGAGGGATAAATAGGAAGAAAGAAAGAAAGAAAGAAAGAAAGAGGGATAAATAGAAAGAAAGAAAGAAAGAAAGAAAGAAAGAAAGAAAAAAGAGCGATAAATAGAAAGAAAGAAAAAAAAAAAGAAAGAGGGATAAATAGAAAGAAAGAAAGAAAGAAAGAAAGAAAGAAAGAGGGATAAATAGAAAGAAAGAAAGAAAGAAAGAAAGAAAGAAAGTAAGAAAAAAGAGCGATAAAAAGAAAGAAAGACAGAAAAAAAGAAAGAGGGATAAATAGACAGAAAGAAAGAAAGAAAGAAAGAAAGAAAGAAAGAAAGAAAGAAAGAAAGAAAAAGGGATAAATAGAAAGAAAGAAAGAAAGAAAGAAAGAAAGAAAGTAAGAAAAAAGAGCGATAAATAGAAAGAAAGACAGAAAAAAAAAAAAGGGATAAATAGAAAGAAAGGAAGAAAGAAAGAGGGATAAATAGAAAGAAAGAAAGAAAGAAAGAATGTAAGAAAAAAGAGCGATAAATAGAAAGAAAGACAGAAAAAAAGAAAGAGGGATAAATAGGAAGAAAGAAAGAAAGAAAGAAAGAAAGAAAGTAAGAAAAAAGAGCAATAAATAGAAAGAAAGACAGAAAAAAAGAAAGAGGGATAAATAGGAAGAAAGAAAGAAAGAAAGTAAGAAAAAAGAGCGATAAATAGAAAGAAAGACAGAAAAAAAGAAAGAGGGATAAATAGGAAGAAAGAAAGAAAGAAAGAAAGAAAGAAAGTAAGAAAAAAGAGCGATAAATAGAAAGAAAGACAGAAAAAAAGAAAGAGGGATAAATAGAAAGAAAGAAAGAAAGAGGGATAAATAGAAAGAAAGAAAGAAAGAAAGAAAGTAAGAAAAAAGAGCGATAAATAGAAAGAAAGACAGAAAAAAAGAAAGAGGGATAAATAGGAAGAAAGAAAGAAAGAAAGAAAGAAAGAAAGAAAGTAAGAAAAAAGAGCGATAAATAGAAAGAAAGACAGAACAAAAGAAAGAGGGATAAATAGGAAGAAAGAAAGAAGGAAAGAAAGAGCGATGAATAGAAAGAAAGAAAGAAAGAAAGAAAGTAAGAAAAAAGAGCGATAAATAGAAAGAAAGACCGAAAAAAAGAAAGAGGGATAAATAGAAAGAAAGAAAGAAAGAAAGAAAGAGGGATAAATAGAAAGAAAGAAAGAAAGAAAGAAAGTAAGAAAAAAGAGCGATAAATAGAAAGAAAGACAGAAAAAAAGAAAGAGGGATAAATAGAAAGAAAGAAAGAAAGAAAGAAAGAGGGATAAATAGAAAGAAAGAAAGAAAGAAAGAAAGAAAGAAAAAAAGAGCGATAAATAGAAAAGAAAGACAGAAAAAAAAGAAAGGAAAGAAAGAAAGAAAGAGGGATAAATAGAAAGTAAGAAAGAAAGAAAGAAAGAAAGAAAGAAAGTAAGAAAAAAGAGCGATAAATAGAAAGAAAGACAGAAAAAAGAAAGAGGGATAAATAGGAAGAAAGAAAGAAAGAAAGAAAGAAAGTAAGAAAAAAGAGCGATAAATAGAAAGAAAGACAGAAAAAAAGAAAGAGGGATAAATAGGAAGAAAGAAAGAAAGAAAGAAAGAGGGATAAATAGAAACAAAGAAAGAAAGAAAGAGAGATAAATAGAAAGAAAGAAAGAAAGAAAGAAAGAAAGAAAGAGGGATAAATAAGAAGAAAGAAAGAAAGAAAGCAAGAAAGAGGGATAAATAGAAAGAAAGAAAGAAAGAAAGAAAGAAAGAAAGAAAGAAATAAAGAGGGATAAATAGAAAGAAAGAATGAAAGAAAAAAAGAAAGAAAGAAAGAAAGAAAGAAAGAGGGATAAATAGGAAGAAAGAAAGAAAGAAAGAAAGCAAGAAAGGGGGATAAATAGGAAGAAAGAAAGAAAAAAGAAAGAGGGATAAATAGAAAGAAAGAAAGAAAGAAAGAAAGAAAGAAATAAAGAAAGAAAGAAAGAAAGAAAGAAAGAAAGAAGGATAAATAGAAAGAAAGAAACAAAGAGGGATAAGTAGAAAGAAAGAAAGAAAGAAAGAAAGAAAGAAAAAAAGAAAGAAAGAAAGAAAGAAAGAAAAAAGAAAGAAAGTAAGAAAGAGGGATAAATAGATAGAAAGAAAGAAAGAAATAAAGAAAGAAAGAAAGAAAGAAAGAGGGATAAATAGAAAAAAGAAAAAAAGAAAGAAGGAGGGATAAATAGAAAGAAAAAAGAAAAATGAAAGAGGGATAAATAGAAAGAAAGAAAGAAAGAAAGAAAGAGGATAAATAGAAAGAAAGAAAGAAAGAAAGAAAAAAGAAAGAAAGAAAAGAAAAAGAACGAGAGGATAAGAAAGGAAAGAAGAAAAACAAAAAAAAAAGGCAATGCAGCGACAGATTAAAAAAATGGCGCAAAAATACAGAAGGGCAAATGAAAAAAAAAAAAAGATAAAGTATAAATTAAATGAGAAAACGAAAGTGAGGCTTAAAGCCGAAAAGCAAAATAGATTATAAGATTGAAAAAGAGATAGGGACAAAACTTAAAAATCATTAATGAAAAAAGATAAAAATAAAAAAAAAAAAATACGAAAGAAAGAAAAAAAATGAAGTAAACTTAACCTGAACGAAAGAATGAAAAAAAAAAAAAAATAGAAGAAAGAACTCAAAATATACAAGACGGAAAGGGAGATCAATTAAAAAAGAAAGAAATTAAAAGCGGAAAAAAAAATAAATAAAAAATAAATACGAAAGTCCTACTCTTTATTTGCCTTCCCTTTCCAAAAATAAATAAATAAATAGAGAAAGAAATAAAGAAAAAGAAAAATATTAGGATTATTTATATTTCTCTTTTTTTTTTTTTTCCCGCGGTGTCTTCGGCAAGATGTCATGTTCTATTGTTTGGTAGGAAATTATGTTGACATCGAATTTGCAAGTTCCCACAGCGAAGAGGAAATTACCTCTGATCAGATCTCGCGCACGCGAGAGTTCACTGATAAAAGCGATGGATGAAAATGATCGTGGTTTTCTATAGTGGGCGGTCGAAATGATGAAAATGATCTTAAATAACACACTTAAAAGAGAAGAGAAAGCTTGGTTCGTTTATCGAAGAAGGCACCGGGACCGATAACAATTTTAAAATAATAGGCAAATGAGTAATCTGTAGAGAAAAGAAGATGAAACTGTAATTCCATATTCTAAGTGGATGGAGCAAGCATATTCACAGGCAGTATATAAATAGGTAAGACGGTCTCACTTTAGAGACTATGATAAAATAAGTATTATGTTGACCACGAGTGAATATTTCCTTTTACTGCATCCGCGTCCTGGGTAAGACGATAAAATGCATCCGCGTCCCGGGTAAGATGATAAATGCATCCGCGTCCTGGGTAAGACGATAAGCTACGTCCGCGTCCTGGGTAAGACGATAAGCTACGTCCGCGTCCTGGGTAAGACGATAAACTGCATCCGCGTCCTGGGTAAGACGATAAACTACATCTGCGTCCTGGGTAAGACAATAAACTGCATCCGCGTTCTGGGTAATACGATAAGCTACGTCCACGTCCTGGGTAAGACGATAACCTACATTCGCGTCCTGGGTAAGACGATAAACTGCATCCGCGTCCTGGGTAAGACGATAAACTACATCCGTGTCCTGGGTAAGACGATAAACTATATCAGCGTTTTGGGTAAGACGATAAGCTACGTCCAACAGCAAGGGCTCTGATCTGGAGGTTTTGAGGAGCGTGGAACCACCTCTAAATTGCTGATGTTCCCAGGTCCACCCTGACCTGGGGTGGTAGCACTTGTTAGGGTACCAGCTTTGGGTAAATAGTTAACCCCCAAACTGAAGTCAAAACATTATGAAAGTGTAAAAATAGGTTTTAATACCATAAATATTTTGTAAAAAGAATATTACCAGTAATAAATTTTAGGAAAAAAATACCAGCAATACACTTTTGGAAAAAAAAAATTACCAGCAATAAAAATCCTGTCGGCATTAAATAACCCATTGAGGTTGGTATGCCGTAAAAGAAAATAAACCAAATCAAAGAATACATATTCTATTCATACGAATCTATACTAAAAATCTTGTCGGCATTAAATAACCCATTGAGGTTGATATGCCGTAAAAGAAAATAAACCAAATCAAAGAATACATATTCTATTCATACGAAACTATACTAAAAATCTTGTCGGCATTAAATAACTCATTGAGGTTGATATGCCGTAAACCAAACCAAACCAAATCTTTTTTCTGCATTCATCAAATAAAAAAAACAAAGACGCACACAATGTAGAGAGTTCTTCTATGTGCCAAATCCTTTCATGACGTTGGTGATCATGACTCTCCTCAATGTCCTTTCCTTAATAAAAATTGTCTTTTTATCTCTCCCAACCCTTGTTCCACCATCCAATTAGTCTTGGTGAGCCTGAGTAAGTGGATTTATTAAATATAGGACATTGGCGAGAGTCATGATCCCCAACGTCATCAAAGGATTCGGCACATAGACCTCAGGTAAGAACTCAAAACCTGACGGACCGTCAAAGAAAGAAATGCGTTCAACGATACAAACTCCTGTCTCGATAGTAAGTCTGATCAATTCGATACGGTCAAATTGGCAGCCGATGTCCAAAACGACCTACAGTCTGTTGTTAACTGGGGCAAAGGATGGATTGTTAATTTTAAAAAACGAGTTATCTCTCCTTTAATTATCTGCCTTCCATCACCATGTCTGCTGCTAACCACCAGGGAAATGAGACTTTGCTTCTTCTCAGGCTAACATTCTCAGCTGACACGAAGAGGAAAGACTATATTGAATCCATTGCTAGGTCAGCTAGATTGAGTTCACTGTGTCGTGCGAGACAATGTCTATCTCCAGAATCTATCTTAGAGATCTATAAATCTACCATTCGCCTATATTTAGAATATTGCTGGAACATATGCCCCAGTATTCTTGCTATTATACCTTGAGCTCCTTGATAAAATCCACAGAAAAACCTGCAATGTTATCGGTCCTGATCTGGCAACTCGGCCTCAGCCAGTTTCACACTGCAGTAAGGTTGCTCTCCCGTGCCTTTTTTTTTTTTTTTTAAATAAATACTTTCATGGTAGTTGTTCGGATGAGGTCTTCGCTATGGTAGTTCGCATCCTGTTGGAAAAGAACTTTGTCCTTAAGGCCTGTTCTGTTTGTTTCAATATGGCACCGCCGTTCAAGAAGGCTGAACAATGTGTTCTTTTGCCTGCTAGGTCTTATGAGAGTCGTGATTTGGACGACACGTCAGAATGGGATCCTATGGACGCGACAAGTTCACTTCTTCCCAACTGATATTGTACATTAAGCATCAGCTTAAAGTCAAAATTAGGACGGAAAAGCGGCGGCTCACTTCATCAGAATTTGGCAAAAGGTGGGTGAATCTTGTACGATTGTGTCAAGTAAAAGGGGCTGACTTGCAGTGGCATTTTGATTTAATATTTTTCTTCAAAAAATCTATTTCTGGTAATAATTTCCCATCAAATATGTATTGCTGGTAATATTTTTTTTACAAAAATATTTTTCTGGTATTAAAACCAATTTTTTACACGTTTTGACCCCACTTTAGTGGGTTAACTGTTTGCCTATAGACGGGACCCTTACAGGTTGTTATGGTCCAGGTTAGGACCAAGGAAGAACAACACGAATACAAGAGTAGAAATAACGAAGGTATATTACACGAATTAATAATACAAGATGTGGACGGTGCTAGTATGACTGTCAGTCTGGCTTGGAGTGAACTACTATCGGCTCGATTGGACCCTCTTTCTTGAGAGGCGTAGTATACATAGTGTTAGGAAGAGTTCATTCTGTAGTTATAGGTAAGGACCCATGACAGATAGATAGATAGATAGATAGATAGATATTAAAGTGACCTAGTGTTATGGTCCAGGTTAGGACCAAGGAAGAACAACACGAAGACAAGTGTAAAAATAACGAAGGTATATTACACGAAATAATAATACAAGATGTGGAAGGTGTTAGTATGACTGTCAGTCTGGTTTGGAGTGAATTATTATCGTCTCGACTGGATTCGACCCTCTCTCTTGAGAGGCGTAGTATACATAGTGTTAGGAAGAGTTCATTCTGTAGTTATAGGTAAGGACCCATGACACAAGTGCTACTACCCCGGGTCATGGTGGACCTGGGAACACCAGTAATTAAGAGGTGGTTCCACGTTACTCAAAACCTCCTGATCAGAGTCCTTGCTGTTGGACGTAGTTTATCGTCATACCCAGGATAGGCCCATAGCTGGGACCCCCTAACAGGTGCTACCACCCGGGTCAGGGTGAACTTGGGAACACCAGTAATTAAGAGGTGGTTCCACGATCCTCAAAACCTGATTGGAGTCCTTGTTGTTGGATGTAGTTTATCGTCATACCCGGGATCCAGGCAGAAGAGCCGAAGTGACGCCCCGAAGGAGGTTGACTGTCAACAACTTTCCTATATCTCCTGTAGCCAAGTCATCCCCCAAAAGTAATACTTTGTGTTCTTTTGGATGTTGTCGTCACGCCGATTAATCTGAATTCAACTTACATGATGCCTTGTAGTTCTCGCTTTTTTGATTTTTGAGAGGACTATATATATAGACATCCACAGACTGTGTCCATAGTTCATCAGTCCTTCCTTGAAAATCGAACATGATGAGATTCGAACCCGGGTCTCATGGTCAGAATGCGATGGTCCTAACAACTCGACTACGTGTCCATATAATTTTGTCTTACGAAATTACCCTATTTCTCCGTCAGCCACTCTCTTCTTCGTCAGCCATCGTGATATGACAGTACTATGCCCTTTTAAAAATAATAAATAATGGAATATTTGTTAAACTTGTTCACCATAGTCTATGAATATAGAATACAGCGCAGTGGAAGCCTGCTGGGCTCATAACCCTTGTTGACCATGTTCACCATAGTCTATGAATATAGAATACAGCGCAGTGGAAGCCTGCTGGGCTTATAACCTTTGTTGACTATGTTCACCATAGTCTATGAATATAGAATACAGCGCAGTACGTAATCTGTTCAATGAAACAACGTTGAAGATTAACACTCACAAGTCAGACACTCTACTGAATCTGACTATATCGCCAATCTATCTGCAACAAAACAAAGCCCAAGCAAAAAGAAAGAAAGAAAAAAATCGTTGATTCATACCTTTCCTAATATCAATAGTAAATTATTTAATTCCCAGTTTTGGAAAGAGGATATTAATTCCCGGGTTTACACGACACATTAGCAAAAAGACGAGTCCTACCAATAAGCATCTGACGTCGAATTGTATTTTTCCAATGAGGTTTTAACAAAGCCTGTACTCGTCGCCGCTATCGATCGACTCTAGGTTTTTCTTTGATCCTGGTCGAATTGCATGTGTTAATTTCATTTGCTGCAACTGCCGCGCTTTTGGGACTGGCAGATTGAAACGTAACTCGCATAGCATGACGGCGCAGAACGACTCTCTTTATTACCCTAACTCTGCCATTTTGTATAAGCTCATAACATTATGTCATCCGTTTCAATATTCTCCACACAGCAGGCTGATAATGGAAGGTATCTGTGACTGGAAAAAAAATAGCTACACTAACAAACATAAAATTAGGAAGTTTATGCATAAGGGATTATCATTAGCATTTTCATCGTATAGAACACGTATTAAATTTTTGTTAATTGATTCACCCCAAGTAAGGCAAAAATTCCACTAAGACGCAAGAGGCTATTGGGAGTGAAAGAGAATGTGAAGACATTAGAAGGAACTGGAAACACAGACCTAAACAGGAAACAAGTGATAAAACTCTTGTTTAAAAGACCGGAAACTAGTGTAAAACGGACAATAGATGTCTTTACGAGGAAACATAAATAGTGAATAACAGTTTAGACGGAGAAGTTACCAGCAAAATGTTGAAATAGACTTTAGTAGAAACCGGAAAACTAATTCTAAACACGAAACTAGTTCCAAAAACCGAAGTGTGTTAACAGGTCAACAGGCGAAATTATCTACTCCGATTGCCTAAAAAATAGTAAATAAAATTTCAAAGTCTAGGCCGGGACATTAGAAATATAGAGTTGAAGTAGATTTTTATCGGAAGCGGAAACCTAATCCTAAACAGGATACTGGGTATAAAATTCTACTCCCGTTCAAAAGATCTAGGAAGCGTGTGAAGCGGACGATAGACGATTTACTCCTAATGAAGGAAAAAAATGATAGTACATTTTAGAGTTTAGACGGAGGCGTTAGAAGTATAGAGATAAAGTAGTTTTTAGTAGGAAGTAGAAGGATTCTCTGCCTCCTATTAGAATATCTGATGCTCAGCTCTACGAGAGCATCTCTCTGTGACTGCTCTCACACTGCCCGCTGACCTGAGATGGAACAAATACATTGAATCAATAGCTTCATCTACTGCAAGGAAACTTGGTTTTCTGTGTCGCGCCAGAAAGTTTTTTTTCTCGCCCAAATCCATCCTTCAAATCTATAAATCAACCATTCGCCCTTGCATGGCATATTGCTGTCATATATGGTTTGGAACCCCAGCTGTTCGTCTTAAGGTCTTCGGCAAAATTCAGAGACGGATATGCAATGTGGTTTGCCCTGATCTGCCATTGCGTTTACAGTCGCTATCTCGCAGACGTGCCTTTGCTTCCCTCTGTCTTTTCTACACTACCCAGTGACCTGAGATATCAATTATATTGAATCAATAGCTTCATCTACTGCAAGGAAAGTTGATTCTCTGTGTCACGCCAGTAGTTTTTTTTCTCGCCCAAGTCCATCCTTCTAATCTATAACTCAACAATTCGTCTTTGCCTGAAATACAGCTGCCATGTATGATCTTGGGCCCCTCGTACTTCGCCTTAAGGTCCTCGACAAAATCCAAATACGGATATGCAATGTGGTTGGCCCTGATCTGGCATCGCGTTTACAGTCACTCTCTTGCAGACGTGCCATTGCCTCTCTCTGTCTTTTCTACAAATACTTTCACGGTAACTACCCCGACGAGCTACTTTCGCTGGTTCCCAAACTGCATGAATTTAAGCGTGCTACTAGGTTGGCATCTCGGTCCCACCCTTTCACTGCCGAAACGGTTAAATGTGGCCGTCTCTTCTACTCCAATAACTTCATACCTCGCCCCTCCCGTCTGTGGAACTCCCTTCCTCTTACTTGCTTCCCTGACAGCTATAATCTCCAACTATTCAAATGCAATGTCAATCGACATCTCCGAATGCCTTGATCTATTCCCCGTCCTTCTCTTCATCCTTTCCTCTATCACGCCTCTTTACTCTGGCTCCCATTTTCTGTAAACTCTTGCGTGCTAGTGGCACTCCTGCCTTGCTTGGAGTGTAAAGCTTAAAAAAAAAAAAAACCACAAACACACACATACATCCAAAATTACAGCGCCCATCTAGGTTATGACCAGAAGGAACGTTGCTTAACTTCGTGATGGTGTCGTAAGCCAATATCAGGAAAAGACAGTTGAATTTTCTAGAGCCCATAATGAGGAAAGAGGTCTTGGAAAAATATCTTTCCCCTCCTATCTATATAAACTACCCCTTAACGTAGCCCTGTTCCTTGCACAGGGTGAAGCTTCTTGTAAAAAAAATAAAAAAAATAATAAATAATGCAATACTTCTTAACCATGTTCACCATAGTCTATGAATATAGAATACAGCGCAGGGGAAGCCTGCTGGGCTCATAACCTTTGTTGACCATGTTCACCATAGTCTATGAATATAGAATACAGCGCAGGAGGAAGCCTGCTGGGCTCATAACCTCTGTTGACCATGTTCGCCAAGTCTATGAATATAGAATACAGCGCAGTTCGTAATCTGTTCAATGAAACAACGTTAAAGATTAACACTCACGAGTCAAACACTCTACTGAATCTGACTATATCGCCAATACCACCAGCAGCCGCTGTTCCGTAATTCTTCAGGCTTCGATATCAAAGGCTGGCAGTGATATTTAGCCACCCACACCCACCGAGGGTTACATGTGGCACAAGGCCGGGATTAACGTGGGATTTCCGAGCCCGTATACTCGGCCAAAAATATTCCCTATTCGAACGCGTATAAACGGGTTCAGGGGGCAGTCAACCTCCCCGAACGAGACTCTGCCCTTCGGCGGAGCCTCGTCCGGTTTATCAAAGGCTGGCAGTGCATATTCGGGAAAAATATGGCCGCCTTTATACACGTCGCATTGAATATTATGAGCCATCTGATTGGTTAACCTTTCTATTCGTGAACTCTAAAATGAGTCAGCTTATTTTGGCTGGCTCACTAGTAGTACCCCAAAATTCCAACAATATTCCGTTTTGACCGGGTGAAAACACGGAAGTGATATATCAGAGAATCTACTTCGCTTCACGAGGCAAACTGAAGACAAGAGGGGATGGGGAAAAAACGCATAACCTCCTTTACGAGCTTGGGTAAATGTGTAACGGGCAAGATTTAGGAGAGGTAACAAGAGTGCAATTTATCTCCATCTATAAAAGGCAGGATGTGTGTGTGTGTGTGTGTGTGTGTCTAACAAATGCACGGCCGCAATTTTCGACGGATTTGCATCAAAATTTACATGCACATGCACATGTAGTTTGCGGCCAATTTCTACTGGCCAGAGTGAGAGCCACGAATAGGCAGGAAGTGGGAAAAATTTAAATCTGCATGGCACTTTACTCCAATTGGCTCATTCGCTTGCTTAAACTCAACGTTGATTCTGATTCCGCAGAAATGGGTTGCGTGTGAAAAAGTATTTGTTGTTAACATTCTTTTTTCATTCGGTTTTTTTCCAGTTACGAGTCCTTTTTTAAATCTGATCGTTTTGTGTTCATTTTGTTTAGTTCTTTTCTCGTAACAAATTTAATGTTTAGTTTAGAGCTTAGAAAGAATTCGCAGTGTGAGATAGGCAAGAAGTAAGGCATGTAGCAACATCAGCACGGCAAAGGGCACTCCTTTAAAGGCAACCCCTAAAAAAAATATTTTAAATCAAGTGATAGCGATTGCTGTATGAGTCGTACGATTTTTGAACCAAGCACGGGCAACGCCGGGCCATACTGCTAGTTAAAAACTACGAAGGACGGGAAATTATGGTATGCTATAATCGACAATGTCCTCAAGTGACGGTGGAGACTTAAGAAGTAGATTTTGAGTAATAGATTAATCAAAATACCTAATTCAAGAACATCAAAGTGCAAAAGAAAGGCGAGTGAACATTACCGAAATACTGCGACAAAAAAACAATGTAGTCTAATTAATTTATGCAATAATAAAAATCGATTTTCTCAGAACTTCAGGGTTCTTCCTCATACACAGGCAAAATGAAAGAAATTTGCACGGGCGTACCCCGTGCCATATTTTCGGTAGAAATCAATATTGAAGGAAACAGAACTTTCTTTTATTTTATTTCATTTAATCAAAAGCGAGAGACACACACAAAGGAAGTCGTGCACGCATGCGTCAAAAATTAGAAGGTATTTTTTTGCACCGATTTACCTGACACCCACATTTTTCTTGTCAAATCAGTATCCTTTTTTTTCGCGACTTGTAATGAAATAAACCCACGTGCATAACACAAAAGCGATGTATACAAACTCACTACCACACACACACAAACACACACACACATACACATACACACACATACATATACAGTGTAACCCGGATATAAGAGAAACCCGGATATAAGAGACTTCTTCTCCGGTCCCGACAATTCTCTTATATCTGGGTCACACTGTACACACATACACACATCAAGCAGTAATCTAAGCCCTATATTTTGAAAAATTATCCACTTAAAAATGTAAGTGCAATTTCGTTTTTTTTTTTCCGTGTTGCAGTCCCTGCCAAAAGTTCTGGAACAGCAAAGCTAATTTCTTTATTTGTTGGTCACTGAAAACATTTCGGTTTAAGGTCAAAAGAGGAAATTCAGCTATTATCTTTTACTTTTATTAGATGCATTAAACAATTTAGGAATACCACCTTTTGTTTGAACCCACCAATTCATCAAGTGAGCAAAACTACTAGAACACGTGACTGACAGGTGTTTCTTGTTGCCCAGGTGTTGCCTTTTAGATTGATTATCTAAACTTAAATAGCTCTGAATCACTACTTATGGATTTAGCCTTGGGGTTCCCCTGTAAAGACTGCATGTCTTGTTAAAAGTACCCAGATTTTATAAATTTAAGCATAGTACTCCTCATTTCACAGTTGAAATGGCTAGACGTAACCGTCGGTTCTATGGTGAGAGTTTCTTCTGTCGGACTTCTCACTTGTGGAAATATTTTCCGCTTTCTAGCCAACTTTGATCTTCGAAGCTTTAAATGCAATATCAGTCGTTATCTATTGTCTTCTTAGATTTTTTTTTCTTTTACTGTTCTTTCTCGTTAATAATGTCTTTTTTCTTATTCTCATATTCTGTAACACTCAAGAATTCCTTACGTCTTTATAATAATA